CAGGGTGCCACTGTCCAGTCCTGTCCGGCCGCAGGCAGTGTGGCGTGGCCACTTGGCTCCCTGGGTCAGCCTTCAGCCAGTTACTGTGAGCTCCCTGGGTCCTCACCCACGGGAGCAGCTGCTCGCATGCTGCTCCTGGCTGTGCCAAGGGGCAGCGTTACAGGGTGGGAGGGCCCTCTCAAGGGCCAAGGGGGCTCCCAGCAGGACATAGGCTGTGTCTAATCGGGTTGTCTTTGCTGGTTGCCCTTCATTGTCCTGCCTGTTGATGCTCCAACACTCCTCTCTTGTGCTTCAGGTCTTGTCTGAGGGAACCATGGTTAGGTAAAGCTGCCCAGTTAGGGAATCGATTAAGGGGCTCCAGAGTATAGCCGAGAAAAGAAAATTTCTCATTGATTGATCTTTTAAAATAAGATCTTGATGCATACCGTGATCCTCACAAAACTGGGGCTCAGACGCACTGAGTGTCGTGGACGCACCATCCTTACAGTTAGGACTGAAGCTTTGTGACCCCAGGATTGAGCCTGTATGGTCCAGCAGGAAGCAAAGGATGGTGGATTGTTTGAGGAGACTAGGGTGCTGTAGTGGTTCTGGGGTAGGGTTCCCATCTCTTCAATGCATGAGATCCACACTCCATTTGCAGCCAGTGCCCCTCACGGCAGCCCCCGCCCCATCTGTCAGGGGAGGCGTGTGTTGCTAGGATGTTGAGTGTGTTTCAGGGGAGCTTCCAGACTCAGATCAGGAAGGAAGGTCTGGCAATCTGCCTAAGAAAATCAGCCCACAAAGCCCTCTGTGTCTCAAAGGTCCAACCCCATTGGGCATGGGGTTGCCAGGAGTTGGTGGCCTAAATCAAAGGCAGCCAACAGCAGCAGCAGCAGCAACGGGCGACTGTTTACAGAGGTGTGAACAGAGTAAGAGAAGCAGCAGGGATGAGAAGTCAGAAGCTGATAGCATCCTGGTGTGAAAGGAAGATATAGTCCTGGTTGGTCCAGGAGAGGCCTGGGGCTGGAAAATGCTTGCCAGGAGGTAGTACAAGGGAAAAAAACCAACCTCTTCTCTCGTCCTTGGGCCCCTGAGTGGCACAAACCGTTTGCACTGTCTCCCAATCTAAAGGTCAGCAGTTCAGCTCCTCAGAAGAGAAGCCTGGTGATACAGTTCCTTAAGACACCAACCAACCAACTCCCTGTCCTATGGAGCCGATCTGCTCTGTACCGTGGGGTCCCCCTGGAATAGACTGGGCAACAATTAGTTTGGTTTTGGGTTTTCCCCCTTGATGCCATCCTCTACCCCCACCCCCACTCCCGTTGCCCACCCCATCTACGGAAACTGAAAGTCACGAGAGCCTGGCAGTGTTGCCTGGAGCTGGCTCTGCTGACTTGTGAGAGTCATTTGCTCAGTGTTCAGGAATGTTGTGAGTTAGTTGTTAAACAGAGCTATTATCAAGAATTAAATTATAGAAGTATATAATTAATAATATAAAAACAAATGTCCTGAGCACTCAGAACTTATCACTTCCTACTTACATTGCATTACGTTCTCCCCTGTTCTTGATGTTGTTATTGTGTATGAGGGCACTGCTTTAGAATGTAAGGCTGTCTCTGTCCAGCTCAGGGCTCAGGGACTCCAGATCCACTTGAAATCAGCACAGTGCAGTTGTGTACACCACAGAAATCAGGAAATGCTTCGTTGTTGGTTCCTGACTTGCTTTGTTGATTGTCTACACTTAATCAGCATTAGGCAGGCAGATTAAAATAGTGCCTATAGCTATTGAATTTTGAGTAGTACAAATATTGAAACAAATATTTTCCAGTGTTTCAAAACAATGATCCCTTCTAGTAAAGAAATTGCTTCACACTAACAATTGAATGAAGTTGATGATTCTTCTCATTTTTATCTTTTTTGTCAACCAATCTGTCAACCAACAATTATGTCCTAGGACAGTCATTTATCAATTGCAATCAGAGGCTGACTCACGTATATAGATACAAGTATGCAGGAAGCCCTGGTGCTGCAGAAGGTAGTACTCAGCTGCTAACCAAAAGGCCAGTGGTTCAAACCAACCAGCTCCTCTGTGGGAGTCAGATGTGGCGTCTGCTTCATGAAGCTTTACCGCCGTGGAAACACAGTGGGCACTGTCGTCTGCTCTGCAGCGGACTGTAGGTTGCTGTGAGGCAGAAATGACTCAATGGCAATGTGAGCATCCCAGGATAAGTCGAAGACAATCACTACTGCAGTTGCCATGCATACCTGCAAGGTTGCTTCCAATCAAAATATGTTTAAGCATGCTGCTGCAACAACTGTTTCCAAGGGGGTCATACTGGGCCAATTAAAGCCTGAGGTCAGCTCAGAAAGTTATTGGGGTTTTTGGGGGACTCCAGAGGGGTGATCGTGATGGAATTTATTGAAGGCTGCAGATGACCATAGGGGCCTATTATGACAAGCTTTTCAGAAAATTGCAAACTGGCATTGGGAAGAAAAAATCCAGGAAATTTGTGCCAAAGAATTTTTCCATCATGGCAGTGTACCTGCTTCTTTTTGAAGGGTAGCAAGAGCTGTACTACAAGAGTTCTGTTGGGAAATCTTACCCCATCCACCTGAAAGTCCCACTTTCTCAGCCAGCGCAGGGCAGATAAAAAGGTGAGGTTCCCCAGTCTGTACAGCACTGCAGCTTCTCCACCTTTCCGCTTCCACTGAATCCCACCTGAGGATTTCACGATCCCGAGGGGACTGAGCCTGCTTTCTGAGCTCCCCTCTAGACGTAATTCTAGTCTCTGGAGGATGATGTGCTGTTAATCAAAGGGCACAGACTTTCTTGGGGGGATCTATGAGTTTTATTGCCATCTGGTTTACATATCCTACACTTCCATAGTTCAGTCGTATTAGAAGGAGTTGTCCAATCATCACTGCAATCGGCTCCCAATCACTGTCTTACTTCTGGTATTCATTATTAGCTCCCCAATCCCTCCAACTTTCTACACCCACCCACCCCCCCACCCCCCCACCCCCGTGCTGTGCCCTCAATAAACCCCTAATCCAGTTACTGTCCCTATAGCTTTACCCATCCCAGACTTCATGTACTGGAAAACACACACACACACACACACACACACACACACACACACACGACCAACAAGAGTAAAAAAATAAACCAGAAAAAAAAATACAGTCAGGAAGAAAAAAAAAGCAGGAAGTGTACTAGAATCAATTTTAGATGGGCTAAAAGGGACATCAAATGACCAAGTATCACATTTTACCTAATTACATCTGCCATAATCACATTTACCATATTCTCTGTCTGTTGGGCTATTCACATCCATCAGCTGTGGTCAGAGGGGATTCACGCATCAGAGGCTGCATCCATGTAGGGATCCTGAAAACAGATTTGGGGTTCCCACTGTCATCCGTTGCCTTCTGCAAATTGGGTGCCTCACTTTTGTGGGGGCAAGTCAGGGTATTGTTTACTTGTTTGGCCATTGGTTTCAGATAAAATCTACATTTATTCACTTTATGATCTATTTGGCTATTGAGATTTCAGAAATAATATTTGGTAGTATATGCCATATACTATACATATAATTTATAGATGAGGGTAATTTTTTAAATGTTGCTACAAAATAATAGACATCTTTATGAAACAAAATATCGAAATGTGAAGTTCTTGTCCCTTGACATGTGCACACTTCTGAGGGTGGTGTTTCCATCTCTCTCGCCCTTCCTCAAAGAACTCTGCACTCTTTGATTGATCCCACTTCAAAATGCCAGTTCCTGGCATCATCAGGAAACTCAAATCATGTTCCTTTGAAATGTTCTTTGAGTTTTGGGAACTTAAAAATAAAGCTGAAGGGGCAACCCCGGGACTTTAGAGCTAGCTTGCTCTGTATGTTGTAGATAGAAAGTATAAAAGCAGGATCTGAACCCTGGTCTGACTCCCCCGACCTGTGTGGAGTCTGTCCCACTGTGCCTGCTGGACAGCACTCAGGAAAAGCACGTGATGAGTGAAGATCTGAACCCCAGAAGTCAGGTGTTTCGGAGTCCGTTCCTGGACGCCTGAGAAAGAGATGCTGAAGATGCAAGGTAAATGGCCGGATGGTCTAGGAGCAGGAGAGCAGGCCCTCACTAGTCTTTGAACCTTCCAGACTCCTCCACGAAATGTTAACTCCTCTATCACAGAGTTGCTGCAAGGGAAAATAACACGAGACTCTAAAGATGCTCAGGACAGTCTTTCTTCCTTCCTCATTCTAGAGATCGCTTGAATCCAGCCACTCTTGCTCAGAGCCAGGGCATCCCCCTCAGCCTCAGCAGATCTGGACAGTTCAGGGTGGGCAGACCATGTGTTTATCTCATAGGAGCACAGCAGGTATTTGTCAGGGTACAGCTCCCTTCTCCAAAAGCACAAAAATAGCACCTGTCAGATGAAAAAAAAATGTGCAGTAACTTTAGCTGTATCATTTCACTCTCTTAATTTGGAAAGTCATGTCATATAGATTACAGATGAACTTGGGACGTGCTCCAAGTAGCAAGGGAACATCGCCTGGTTAATCTTACCAACAGGAACGAGACTGCACCTCCTCCTGAGAACCGAAAGAAGAATGCGTTCCTTTCAGAGACAGTGGCCCCTCCCTCGAGGTCAGTGCCTTTCGGTGCACTTTTTTGGGTGGTGCACATCAGTGAAGGCCATAATGGGACAGTCCCCCATACTCCTTTCTCCTCTGCTTATTTGTAACTCCTTTCTCTG